AGTGGCTTTCAACAATGGAAGCATTTGCTTATCCAAATCTGATTAGCTATGACAAACTGGTTAGTTCACGGGCCGGCAACCTGCGGCTCCGGAGCCGCATGTGGCTCTTTGAGCCATCTCTTGCGGCTCCGGAGCCTCCTCCTCCCCCCTTCCTCCTGCTGCCCCCCCAGGCCTCAGTCCCAGCTGGGGGGACGGCGGCGGCAGGGGCATCGCTTCCTGGGCCGTCCCTGGGCCGCCAAGCCAGCCACGTGTCTGCCCGGTCCGGGCGGCAGTCCCGGCTGGGGCGGCGGCGGCATCGCTCCCTGGGCCGTCCCCGGGGCACCGAGCTGGCTATGCGTCTCCCCAGGCCGGGCCGGGCGGCAGTCCCGGCTGGGGTGGTGGCAGGGGGGCATTGTTTCCTGGGCCGTCCCCAGGCAGCCGAGCCAGCCACGCATCTCCGCGGGCTGGGCTGAGCAGCAGTCCCGGCTGGGGTGGCGGCAGCAGTGGCATTGCTTCCTGGGCCATCCCCAGGTCGCCAAGCCAGCCACGTGTCTCCCCAGGCCAGGCTGGGGACATCGCTTCCTGGGCCGTCCCCAGGGCAGCCGACGGCCACGCGTCTCCGTGGGCCGGGCTGGGCAGCAGTCCCGGCTGAGGTGGCGGCGGCAGGGGCATCGCTCCCTGGGCCGTCCCTGGGCCGCTGAGCCGGCTACGCGTCTCCCCAGGCCAGGCTGGGTGGCAGGGGGCATCGCTTCCTGCACCATCCCCGGGCCATTCCCTGGGTAGCCGAGCTCACCACGCATCTCCCTGGGCCGGTCCATGGTGTCCCGGGCACCTTTCAGTGCCTTCAACTGCCTTCTGCCCCCCTCCCCTCCCTGCCTCTTCGGCTCCGTCTGCCTTTCGTTCTCTCTCTCGCTCCTCATCTGGAGAGAGAGAGGGGGGACAGAGGAAAGAGAGAGAGAGGGCGATTTGTTCTGGCAAAGAACCAGTGAGGGACAAGGCGAGGTAAGTCAAAAGACGTGGCACTCTCGTGCTAGCATCTCCCCAACCCTTGTTATCCCTGCCGCAGACTCGGCTCATCCACCCTCACTCTCTACAGACGAGGCTGCTCGCTTCAAATGTTTGGCTACCGAAGCCTGGGAGCCAGGCAGGCGGGCAAGTCTCAACCGCAGCATTTTCTTGCTGTTCTTGTTTTGCACGCGCGCGGTGCTGGCTGGGAACAGAGCCAAGCAAGCTCTGTGGTTGGAAGTCCCTGCAGCTTGGGAGCCAGGATCTTCCTCCTCTCAGTCCCAAATCCCAAGCAGGATTCACAACATTGGGATTGGAAGTGAGCTGCGAGGAGATGGTCTGTCTCTCTTCCTCCCCTCCTCCCTTCTGCGCCGGCAACTGAGGCTCCCTGCTGGGCGCAGTCAGCCTGAAACGGAGAAAGGGAGAAGAAAGAGGAAAGAGAAAAAGGGAGGGAGGGAGGGAGAGGAAAGAAAGAGAGGAAAGGGAGAAAAGAAAGAGGGAGAGGAAAGAAAGGGAGAGGAAAGAGAAAGAGAGAAGAGAAAGAGAGAGGGGGAAGCGCAAGTGCTCCCCCCCCCTCTCTCTCTCTCTCTCTCTCTCACACACACACACACACACACACACACACTGAGTGGGGGAAGAAGACTGGCAGACCAAGGGCAGAAAGGGAGAGGGAGGGGGAGAAGGAGGGAGGGGGAGAAGGAGGGAGGGACAAAGAAAGAGAGAGAGAGAGAGACCCTTTTGACATCTAAAATGAAGATAACACTGCAAATATCCTTTATATATATAATAAAGGTAAAAAAAGGATATATGCAGTGTTATCTTCATTTTAGATATCCAAAGGGTTTTGCGGCTCCCTGTGTTTTGTTTTCGGTGGGAAACGAGTCCAAGTGGCTCTTTGAGTGTTTTGGGTTGCCTACCCCTGGGTTAGTTATAAAGACATTTTGGACAAAGAGGGAAAACTTAAGGACAGGCAAACTTTACAACTACAAGGTATTGACTTGACATGGTGGTCCTACAGTATTTGCAAATTCAAACAAGATACGAGAAAGATATAAAATCGACGGTTTTTATAAAGAACAAACCCATTAGATAAAATTCTGTTAAAAACAGATGAGAATTTGATTAGAAAACTCTATAAATTTCTTTTAAACTGGAAGATGGAAGAAGAACAAGTGAAAGAAACAATGATAGTATGGACAAAGAACTTTGGACATTCTATAGATTTGGAAGACTGGCAAAAACTTTGGGATAAAAATATTAATCTTACAAAAGTGGTAGCATATAAAGAAAACTTATATAAGATGTTTTATAGATGGCATATGATACCAGTTCGTTTAGCGAAAATGTTTAAAAATGTTTCGGATATTTGCTGGAAATGTAAACAACAGCCAGGCACTTATTACCATGCCTGGTGGATATGCCCTATCGCTAAGAAATATTGGTCTAAGATCCATAGATGGTTGGAAAAGATGATGAAACTACAGATAGAATTTAAACCGGAATTGTTTTTGTTAGGAATATTAAGACCTAATTATGGTAAAGAGAATGACTATTTGATATTGCATGTTTTAACAGCTGCAAGGATAGTATTTGCCCAGTTTTGGAAAAATGAGAATTTACCATCTGACCAGATTATAATTACTAAAATTTTAGAGTGTGCAGAAATGGATAGAGTAACATTAGAAATGAAAGAAAAAGATGATTCAATTTATTTTAGAACTTGGGAATTTTTTTTATCAATGGTTAGAGACACGTTAGAACTTGAAGGATTCAATATTTTAGAATAGATGACTGATTTTTAACCGAGTTCTAACTAACATTTTGATGATATGATTATTTTTCTTGATTTATTGATTTTCATTTGTTACTTTTGATTGTTAGGATTTTTTGAGATTTTATTAGTAGTGTTTATTTAATAGATCAACGTATTTGTTTACTAATTGTTTTTAATATGTTATAGTCTAAGCTTCGGTAAAAATGGTTGAATATGATTTACTCATTATTATGATCCAAACGGTAGCTTGTTTGTTGAAATATGTGATTGTACCTATCCCTATTTTACCCTAAATCCTTCATTCCCCTCCCCTTCCCCTTTCCTCCCACCCCCTCCCTTTACCATACCTGTATTGTTCCTATTTTTCCTTATCTATATAAACTTAACAAAATTTTGTTAAAAAAAAAAGAATACAAAAAGGGCACACTAAAGCTCAAGTCAAAGTTCATTACACAGGAACAGAAACAACCTCAAACAGGAACAAATCCAAACACAACCCCCCCAAATATAAAAACCCACCCACTCCCAGCTCCATTTTGTCAGCCACCCTAGAAACATGCTGCTGTCACTGAATTTTTTGGCAACTAAATAAACTGAACCTTCTTTCCTAAGCAATCTCCATTTTGTTTATTCTTGGCTTGGACTCGACCCTGATGAAGATTTTTCTTTCAACACATATCAGCATATGGCAATCTGACTTCATGAATGATAGAAATGAAATTGAGAGCTTGCAACGCTGGTGAAAAAGCTTAAACTGATTGGATCACACCTATAGAAGGACTGTCCTCTGGGAAGGAATGGAAACTACCTGAGTTTTTCAAGGATTCTTCAAATGAATCATTTACTTGGGATAGGGGGTAGAGAATGTCCCCCCCAAAAATACAGAATAGTGTAATATAGGAGCCTTCAGCAATAGGTGGAGAACAGTGTCATGAGGAAGGCATGCACATTTGTGTTTACTAAAGCACTCCATTACCACTTTAATGCACTGGGACAGAAAAGATGTTAGTTGTTTTACCTGTACTGGACTCTCATGTTCATTTTATTTTTTTAATGTTTTTCATGACTGTTTCCCCATAACCTTATTTAAAACTGAAATTATTAATTTATTAGGTCTCAACATTGTATTTACATAACAAGCTTTGTTCTGAATATCTGACAAAATGCTAAAGCATCACAGTCATACTTAAATGAATGCTTAAACAATGACTTAGACTGCAAAAGTGTGAATGTTTACAAAATAATGAAATTCACAGATTTAGATACTATCTCTTTCTGAGTAAAATGCAAGTGTTCAAAGTGTTTTATTTACTTTGCTATATTAAAATATAAAACTTACAATTTAGAAATAATTCAGACCCTTAGAAAAAGGGGGGAAAGGCAGTCTTGAGGATAAGAGAAAATACTATGTTTGAGGATATCCAAGTGAGGCTAAGATTAGATCGTGGGGCATACGTTCTGGGGAGATTCCCCAATTAAGTGTTCCTGCAGCTGTTCTGTTGATGCCCTTGCTATTCATTGCATATATTAAAAAAACCAAACCAACCTTTAAAAAAATCTTGTCAGTAAGCTGGTCCAATCAGATGTTGCCTCTGGTTCCTTTTATCACACTAGTGCTCTCACTGGCTTTATGTTCAGAGGCAGCATCTGATTGGGTCAGCTTGCTATTAGCATAACAAAAGAGGGGTTTTTTGTTAACTGCATGATACACAGTTGCACCTTAACAGGCAAGCTAGTATAGTTCTTGCCATAGCAGACATGTTCTCTTGATCACTACTGTATTATTTCCATGCCTGCTGTGGCAAGAACTATACTAGCTTGCCTGTTAAGGTGCAACTGTGCATCATGCAATTAACAAAAAAACCCCTCTTTTGTTATGCTAATAGCAAGCTGGCCCAATCAGATGCTGCCTCTGAACATAAAGCCATTGAGAGCACTAGTGTGGTAAAAGGGACTGAGACTCAATGCCCTCGGTCTCCATGATCATTTGAGGCAATATCTGAAGCATTGTGTGAGGAGAAGACTATAGTGAGGATTATCACTTTAATGGATACTACTGGCACTTATTTTGGGCCTGGCAACATATATTGATATGAGCAATTGAGTAAATTTTTGGCAGGACCAAGAATCTGAATAGGTGATTATTCAGAGTTTTGTCTCTTAAAAGTAATATACTGCATTTGATTTACTGTTGATATCTCATGTATGGTCTCATTCTGAAATTACTATTGTTTGTTCACAGAACATAACAGATTAAAGAATGACAACTCCATTCTACAACAACAAAACCTTCAGTAATACAATGTCTTTACCAGCTTTACAATGATTAGGAATGACTGTGTAACTGTCTACTACTGGCTAAACAGCATTCATTGGAATATTTGGTCTTAAAGGCACAAAATTTGAATGTGGAACCTTGGTCAAATCTAAACAGTGTGATGTTGAAATGAGATGAGGCTCCGAAATGGAACTGTGGCCACTGCATTGATTTTCATCACATCTTTTCTCAGTTTATCATGGTATACAGCATGGCAGAATGGAAAAGGTAAGTCATATCTTTTATGAAAAGAGAGGGGAAAAAGGAAAACCAATATAAATACATTTGAGAAGTTCCTCTTAGAGATTTAGACTACAAGAAGCAGTATAATGACATTTTTTTCAGAGAACAGGGCTACTTAAAGTTCAAGATTAGCAGAAAACACAGTAAAGATACAGTGCTTGTTTGCATCTAAAAAAAATAAACCTAAAATTTAAATTTAGAAAGAAATAGTCTTGCAGATCCATAGCTTAGAGCCGTGGTGGTGAACCTATGGCACATGTGCCACAGGCGCCACGCGGACCATCCCAGAGGGAGGCAGGGCCAGGCTGCTCCCCTCCGCCTCTCCATGTGTACCTGCTCTCTCGCTCTCTTTCTCTCTGCGCTGGGAGTAAGGGAGAAGCTGCAACAGCTGGGTGGAAACGGCAGTGACAGCAGGGCGATCTGTGCGACGGGTGGGGGGGAAAGGCGGCAGCAGTCCGCGTGGCAGGTGGGGGGAAACGGCAGTGACGGCAGGGCGATCTGTGCGGCAGATGGGGGAAAAGGCGGCAACGGCAGGGCAATCCGCATGGCGGGTGGGGGGGAAACCTGCCCCACTTGTTTCACGGCCGCTTTTGGCCAAGCCGCATTGCAGCAGCATTGGGTGCAATACGCAAGGCGGCAAACAGCCACGTCGCACTGAAACCGGCCGTTTGTCACCTCCTGCCCAGTGCCGTTGCCATGAGGCCACAGAACCAGTTGGGCAGCAGTAAGAAACCGGTATACCAGTTCCTTACCTCCGCCTGGCTTGTTCCGCGGCCTCATGGCAGTCGCATTGGGCGCGATGCGCGAGTCGGCAAACAGCCATGTCACGCCAAAACCGAGGGGCCGGCAGGCTGTGGCTGCTGATGGACACAGTTGGCTCCCATGTACCCGCTGTGTGCAGGGGGCCAATGGTGTCAGGCAGCAGTCGCCCCAGCTCTTGCCTTGCCCTGCAGCAATGGCACCCCTGCCCTGCCCCCCCTGCCTTGCCTCGTCTCACCCCGCAGGATGAGCCTCCTGCCCACCATCCCACCCGCCAGAGACCCCCTGGATCTCCCCCAATCCTGCCTGGCCCCACAGCTGTCCCTCCCCACGATCAACATTGAGGTGGCCATGCCCATCCAGTCTGCTGTGACCACTGCAGCCACGCCCACCCAATGTTCCATGCCCATCCGGCACCCGACGATACATAAGTGGGTTTTGGGTTGCAATTTGGGCACTCGGTCTCTAAAAGGTTCGCCATCACTGGCTTAGAGTTTTCTTTAGACATATAGCAATAACGCTTAGATTTATATACTACTTCATAGTGCTTTACAGCAGGCCTTTTCAACCAGTGGTACGGGTACCACCTGTGGTACATTGGCACCTGGTAGGTGGTACGTGACCATCCTAGAAAAGTAGTGGGGGAGGGGAATGAGCTGAACCGGTGGCAGCACCGCACAAGCCTGAGTGAGAGATGGCTGGAGCTGCAGGGCTGTCAGGGCTCAGCGGAAGCGCCAGGATCAGCGCCGGGCTCCAGCTGGAGCCCGGCGCTGATCCTGGTGCTTCTGCTGAGCCTAGAAGAAGCACCAATCAGCTGGAATGTTGCAGCATCTCCAGGGTCTTGTGATTTACATTCAGATGCTTGGCAACTGATTCATATTTATGACGGTCACAGTGTCCAGAGTCATGTGAAGTGACCAAAACCTGCTGCAATCACACAGCAGACGGGGGGAATAAAAACCAACCCCCCCACCTCACCCCCGCTGCCAATCCTCAACAGAAATGCTCACAACAATGAAAATCTCGGACAGGAGGAAGAGCGCCGCCGGGTGGGCAGCCAGGTGTCTTGCTCGGCTGTGGCTTGGGGGGGCACTTTTTCAGTGCCATTGTAACTTTGAACATTGTAAGCGAACTGTTGTAAGTTGAGGACTACCTGTACTTTTATCACTTTTTTCCTTTTTTTTTTTTTTTTTTTTTTGATACCTTGCTAGGCAACTGGTGGTACTCGGATATTCCCATATCCTAAAAGTGGTACAATGGGTGAAAAGGTTGAAAAGCCCTGCTTTACAGCACTCTCTGAGCAGTTTACAATGATATAATTTTGTCCCCAACACTTTACCAACCTCAGAAGGATGGAAGGCTGAGTCAACCATGACTGAGTCAGGATTGAACTCCTGGTTGTGGACAGAGTTAGTCTGTAATACTGCGTTCTAACCACTGCTCCACATGGCTCCAATCATTGTTTGGCAAAAAAAGGCAAAAGACTATATAAAATTGTAGGGAAGTATTACTATATGAATTATGCTCAAGACGTTCTGATAAGCATATACTGTATGGAAATATACCAATTACTGTTTTAGCTCTTATTCTACACCATAGCTGTGTACAATTTTTTAAAAATCCACATAGGATTGTAATACTTAATTCCATCCTGAACTACAGTGAATGTAGAAATATTTTTATGATCTATTTTCTTCTTTCTTTAACATGAGCTAATAGCTACAAAGATGATAGACAATATTCTTTTAAAGAAACTTGTTTGTGGTTTTTTTAATTATCAATATTGACCAATTCATAAAGAAAGGTTTCATATTTTTTATGACAATTATATGTGCTGTTGCCTGAATAAATTCTTCCAGAATCTTATTTATAAAAAAGTTTATAAGAATGACCATTACAATAATCTAACATGTTCAAATTGGTGTTCTTAAATGCGGTTCTAATGCATTGTATTATTAACTATTGCCATGCAAATCTTCAGAGATAAATAAGATTTGTGTAATTCACCTGTGGGGATTTTGCATTTTGTGATATCAGTACAACATTTGCAAATAAATATAAACCATCACAAGAACTTATGGGCAACAATGTCTTGGAGGGAATTGCTTTAGTACAATAAGGAATCTATGTAATTCATTCTTGGTTGTTGGCTTAAGTGCTAATAAAGAGAAAATATATGTTCCTTATTACAATGAAGGTTGACTATTACAATATGTAATGTGTATTTCCCCTCCATTGACTGCATTCAAATATATAAACATAACAAAACCAATAGCATAAACAGGATACTTTAGGAATAAAGGAAGAAGCAAATTCCCCTTGATATAGTTAACCATTAATACTGGCTTTCCAATAATAGAGTATACCATTCCTAGCTTGTACAACATGGTTCACTTCTAAGGTATAAAAATGGGATACTTGTTGTCTTTTTCATTGTAACAATGTTTTGGAAATGATTTTGTTTCTTCCAAGTTTTTGCAATTCCAGAATTTCGCCAGATTAAAAAGCAAAGTAAATACTTCATTGCATATTTGACATGTTAATTATATATGTTAAATATCTAAATTTAAATGGATGGATGGATGGATGCATACAAAAACAGAAAAATCAGGAGATTGTAAATAATAGTAATAATAATAATAATAATAATAATAATAATAATAATAATAATAATAATAATAATAATAATAATAATAATAATAAAGTTGGAAGGGACCTTGGAGGTCATCGAGTCCAACCCCTGCTCAGGCAGGAAACCCTACACCATTTCGGACAGATGGCTGTCCAGTCTCTTCTTAAAAACTTCCAGTGTTGGAGCATTCACCGCTTCTGGAGGCAGGTTGTTCCATTGGTTAATTGTTCTAACTGTCAGGGAGTTTCTCCTTAGTTCTAGGTTGCTTCTCTCCTTGATTAGTTTCCATCCGTTGCTTCTTGTCTTGCCCTCAGGCGCTTTGGAGAATAGCTTGACTCCCTCTTCTTTGTGGCAGCCCCTGAGATATTGGAACACTGCTATTATTGGTTATCACTCTTACTTTATTTCTTTTTAACATTACAATTTCTAGAAAGTAGAAAATCTATTTTGACCAATGTAAGAGATGTCAAATATCTTTACTTTCCCTACACTGCAGTATAAAGCAAGAAAAAAAACAATCTCTCTATTTTTCAGTTAGTTGAAAATTCATAGGAGATATATCAAGGGAAGGCTGGTTGCCATTGGTGACATGGTTTCAGGAGTCTTGATTCAAAATTATTCATTATGGCTTACCATCTAACCTTGTGCAAGCCAGCCCTATTGAGTTCAAAGTTATTTCTAAACAAATCTATATAGGATTGCAGCTTTCATTCATCTTCCCTGTGTTTCCTACTGTAGAAGAATGCTATTTCTTCTGAAAGTAGTATGTTGAATGCTTGAAAGTGAAATAGCTTTTTTCTTAAACTTTGTTGGATGTGAATAGAACTATGAAAGAAATAGGGGTCACTGACTTTTATTATACAGCAAATTGTAGATTAAGCCAGCCTTCCCACACTATGTGTATCTGAATAATAGAGAGAGAGGGAGGAAATGTATCACATTGCTTCAAGCAGAGCATTCAAATTAGAAACATATTGTATCACTCTCTTAGGAGTAGCTGGGACAGATGCTTTCCTTTTCACAAAACTGGGTCCCTAGAAGATATGGGTTCAGAATGTGCCATCATTTCCCTCTTTGCAGATAGTCCTCAGGTTATGACCACTTCTTCAATGATCAAAGTTACAATAGCACTGCATAAGTGATACTTATGACCAGTCCCTGAAGTTTTGGCCATTGCTGCATGCTCCCAATTGCTATTGTAACCCAAAGGTTAGCTGTACCTTTATTCTTTTTTTGGCTTATAAGGACACTTGAAGACACTGAGTTCAGCATTTCTAATAAAATTTAAGGACCCTACTTGGTTTCCATAGAGATTCTTGGCAATAAAATATTAGAGATTAGGGCTTATCAGTATGGCAACCTCCTCTTTATTTCCTTTTACATTAACAGATGTTTTAAATATGCTAAAAGCATGGTGAATGTGAATGGGGCAAAAAGCATTGTGAATGTGAAGATTTGCAGTTACTATTAATTGCATGCATCTTCTACTTTTGTTAGAGATCTCAGTGGATTATACAGGTAGTTCTCTATTTACAATTACAATTGAGTCCATAATTTCTGTTGCTAAATAGGACAGTTGTTACATGAGTTTTGC